CCATAGAAGGTACAGTAACTCACCCACCAACCAACCATAGGCAGGTCCTGAGTGACGTCAACCCTGATGCTGGCGAGGGGTACCCCGTTCCAGTGTCCCAAAATTTGTTGATTTATGTAGGAAACGACATCCAAATGAAATCACTTTTCACTCGCCTCCATTTTCTAAGCCCATTTTCCACTCCCAATTTTACCAAGAAAAAACATTTGCATGGATCGATAGCCATTTTACTTTCCACATACCAGCCTTGTATTAAATTTTTCTGTACATTCTTTTCCCACTCCTTTTGGGCCTTATCTGACCATCAATTTTCCACCCTTATCCCTTATTTGGTGAGTAATTTTCATAGACCCAGGAAACAGGGGGCAGCCCCCCCCCCCAACCTGAGAGCCGAGGGGGCGGCGCCCCCTCAAGATTGAGGCAGCGAAAAAGGATCTTCCCTCCCTTTTCCGGACTTCTTGTTTCCTTTATACATCTAAACATAAACACACGGCATTTCCCTTGCCATCTGAATGGTTTCCGCTGTTACAGTATCGATTTGACATCTGCTGTTGTCATCCCGCTTTTGTTTGGGTCTGACCTTGGCCATAAGTTTGGCAGGCCAGATTTTATACTGCACCAGCTTAAGTCAACTTTGAGAAATACATAACGTACAACTGTGGTAAAATCGTTGCTATAGGTACACAGTTTACCCGCTCCGGGTGTAAGGGAGGGGTGTGGGGCAATGAGTGCACTGACGTGGCGCCCTTGGAAGGCCGGTATGGGATTAAAAGCTCAGCGACACTAAGCGCTTGTATGGTGCCTTCGGTTATCGTTAGCATCCTCAGAATCACCGGCGTAGGGCCCTCAGAGCCGCCGGTAAGGGGCCTTAAGAGGCACTGGTGTGGGAATGTCATGCAGGTGCCGGTGTGGGCGCTAAGAGGTGCTAGTGTGATTCTCTCAGAGGCGCCGGTGAGGGTCCTTACAGGCGTTGCTGTGGGCCCTCAGACGCTGGTGTGGAGCCGTTACAGACGGGTGTGGGGCCTGAGCTGCGGACGCGAACCCTCTACAAGCCGGCAGGGGGTTCTCAGTGACCGGCAAGAGGCCCTTAGGCCAGCAGAAGAAGTTCTGTGGGGTCCTTAGAGACCGGCATGGTACTATCAGACGCCGGTGGGGCCCTGAGAGTCACCGGACCGGTGTGGGGGGCCTCAGAAGTCACCAGTGGGTGGCCTTTAGATGCGCCGGTGTTGGGTAGGGATTCGGGTCCTCACTCTCAGAGTCGCCGATATAGGGCATTAATAGGCACTAGTGTAGGCACTCAGAGTTGGGGGTGTGAAACCCTCAGAGACACCGGTGTGGGCCCTCATAAGCGCCGACGAGGGCCCCCACAGTTGCCGTTATAGGGCTCTCAGAAAAATAATTGCGGGACCATCACAGGCGGGAAATGCCCCTAGAACTGGGCCCTCATAGGCCGGTAAGAACTTTCAGAGGCCAGTAAGGGGCCTTTGGAGACCACTGAAGGGCCCTTAAAAGGCACAAGAGGCCCTCAGAATCCGGCGTGGGGCCCTTAAAGAGATATCAGTGTGACAATTTAGGGTCCATGAGGTGCTCTAATGAGCCCCATGGGGCCCTTCTATATGGCCATTGTTAGCCCCCAGTGGTCAAATGGCGCCACAGGGCCCCTCGGACCCGAGGCTCCCTTTGAACCCGATGGGGAGGTGGGGTACGCGTCCCCTTAGACCCCTAGCTACGCCACCGTTTCATATGCATCATGTGAGGTATCTTATATGCTCGCCCCCCCCCCCCCCACCTTGAAAATCGTTCCCGGGCCCCTAGTAATTTTCCTTTGACACCCAAGCCAAAATACAATTTTGGGACACTGAGGGGAACTCCCAGTCCTAACAACGCATACTGACTTACTTCATTTTAGCTAAGGATGATAGTACCTGACCTGTATTGTTCAATGTTCATTCGCTGTTTTGCAGGAGAAAGGTCATATCATATTCTATAGCGACAAGTAGAAATAATATGCTAAGAAATAGACTGCTTTGAAGATAGTTACAGACGATTTAAAAACCCTCAGCAGCAGCAGCAAACCAAGGTTGAAAACACGTCTAACGTTAGAGTTGACTAGATTTCATTTTTATCTTCGGACTTCGCCTAACGATTTTATCACAATTTTATTACTATCTTAGTATCTTACTTTCCACCAGCATTGCCCTCATGTCCCTATTGGTGGAACCAAATATCCCTTCAAAAATGCCGATATCGCCCATGCCCAAGCGTTCACTATCCACCCTATCGGGTCGCCTAGAACCTCCATTAACAGATATGTATCGGGCCCCGTACATGGAATAACGTACCTTTCAAAACCCCGGCCAGCTTGGCCTATACCTGACGATGTCCCGTAAGACCTGCTAGGCAGCACCACTGGAGCAAGATGAGCTGGGAGGGGTCGGAACTCCCCCAGCTGACGTGGGAGCTGTGAAGGAATCCTCCAGCGGCCAAAGAAGACTGGCAAAGCGGGCCGGCCCCGCCGAGTGTGCCGATCCGTCGCCGTTCAGAGTCGGATGCCAACCACCAAGCCATGGAAGAAAAAAAAAACAGAATGTGTCACATAACCATTTTTAGCCGAAATCTCGTATCAAAAGGGGCTATATACGAGTATACTGGAGCCATTTATCTGACAATGCGTGTGATGACATATCAGCAGGATATGCATATTGCAGATGTCGCTTATGCATGCCTTGGCAATGCTCTATTGACCAACGACAAGAAAGGCACCTCACTCTGGCAAAAAAACAAAACGATTTACAAACGCCACACCATAAAAAACGAAACTCAGTTAACTCGTACCTCAATGCAGAGTGAGAGCCACACAATCCCGGGCTACCCTCAAACTGCATCCTAGAGAATGGCATACCTACTGCAACCTTTAAACATGGGTGTGAAAACTTCCTCTGGGCAATAGCCTGTAACTTCCTAAGCTATCGCTAATGCATCCCAAAACCACCTTACATAATTCCCCATCTAATCCATAATATCCTAGTCCGCCGAGACTTATCATACCCAAACTGGGTTCCACTGTACCACCTCTGTACCTCTGTATCACCCACTAAACCTTTCATTCCAACCTATCAACACCAGATAACAATACCATCTTAGACAAATACCATTGCATTGGTTATCCTTACAATGAACTCCATTTACCCTCTCAAGTCTCACCCGGTAGTTGGTACCCTTGTTATCAACAATCTCTAACCCATTAATGAAGACCCCGCTCGGACACGCTCGGACAGAGCCAACATCACCAGCAGCTCATTCTCCACGGGGTACGCCCACCTGGCACACCTTACGCCAGTAACCGTTCACCTGTATGGGAACCACAGTTCAACCAACACCAGGTACCACAAACGGCAATTCTACCAACTCTCTGCACAACCACCGGCCAACACCACGTGGCCACCAAACCCTACGCCGGCCAGGCCGTGCACTCTGAGCTGCTACACCGAGAAAGCATGAGCTGATTTCACTCACACGGAGTGTAGAATGGCAAAGTCCGGCGCTCCGTTCCAGGGAAGAAACAAAAAGCAGTTACAGCTATGTTACACCTAGCAAATACCTACACTCAATCTCCCAAAATCTGAAAAACACACCAAACCTATTTCTACCAGCAGTCCAAGTTTCGTTGTTTCATCTAACCTTCAAGAACCTATAATACCGGGCATTTGCCGACCCCTTGCTCATCGACCCTCTTCTTACCGTGATAGCATAACATAAGCACAAAAATAACCAAACCTCATGCCGAAAATGGGAAAAAAAATCAGACAGAAACAACAAACCAGTAAAAAATAAACATAAAAACCCCGAAAGGAAAAAACATCCTCGTCAATCAATATAACATTGATATAAAACCGAACTTATACTTCCCTTGATGTCTTCCAGTTTCCACTGAACACGACCACAGTAAACGCAAAAACATTTCAGAGCGAGAACACTGCTGACTTGCGTCAGACCGGGCGGCTTAGAACAGAGTGACCACGCAAATGCACTCAAACCCCGCGCCGTCACCGTCACGTGACACGAGTCGCTCCACCAATCAGAGGAGGCCGCCGCCTTAGCGGCCTTGCCGCCCGGGGGCGCAGGCGGCCGCCCGCCTGCCGCCGAATGCTGCTCGCAGAGGTCGGCCCGGCTCCGGGGCCGCCCCAGAGAAGACGCTCGTAGTGTCGCGGAAAAACCGGTTATATCTTGTCATATATAACCGGGCGTATTTTTCAGAGTTAATCAGTACCTATCAGCATACCTCCTTAGCTGAATGGCTATGAAAATATGCACACGCATGCCGTTGAGGTTTTCTTCGCATCTAAAATTCTTATTGTGAATTCTATTATGTACATATTTTCTGACTTAAAAAGTAACACGCGACATACGCGCCAACTTCGCCACTGTCACTGCGACATTCTACAGGGAAACCCACTGATAGTGGCTCCCAGAACTGCGATAATTACCAAACTTGGCGCACTCGCTGCTGCTTATAAGAATGCCACGTTCCCGGAGGCCGAAGTGTGTCGCCGGCGGCGATTTGGGCCGGCTGTATCAGCGGCGGCGCCTGATGGTACCGAGTCGCGCCCCTCGCAGCGTCTCATATCGCCGCAGCCGAAAATGACAGGATGGTTAGCGCCACCCGGATGGCGTCGCTCCAGCTGCTGCGTCGTTTGGCGTTACGAGCTTTGGGCGTTACGAGCCCTGGGCGTTACGAGCGCGGCCAATCGGTGTCGCTCGCCGCCCGCCGCCGACCCGGGTCGGCTCGCGCCGGCCGCCGCGGCGGCGACTGTGGCAGCGTGATAGCGAGCCGGCGCGGCGCCAATGCCATGAGATGACATTGGGGTGGCCGGCCGGGTATCATTGCTGTCAGCGCCGGTAATGGACCACTGACTGCGTGCGGAGGGAAAGGGGAGGGACTTCGGGGTCCCACCGCTGACAGTGTGCTCTCTGACTCCCGTGTGTCTCTCTGTCGACAGGTGAACACCACGCGGCCATGCAGGACGGTGTGAGCGCCGGGTGGCCGGCGCGCCGCTCGCCGCCGCTCTGGCCGCTCTGCCTGACCCTGCTGCTGGTGCTGGACGCCCTGTCACCGGCCACCCGGGCCGTCCGACGGCAGGCGACGGACGCTGCCCGCTCCCCGGCGTGATGGATGGCCGCGTCGATCGGTCGGTGGTCCGCGGCTCTGGCGGCGGCGCGCCCGTGACCGCCGCCAGAGCCCACCGCCGCCGCTACCGACGGCCGTACCCCTGGGACGGCCACTCGCCGGGAGAGAGATGGAGCGCCGACCGGCCGCCGACAGGCCCGTGCACAGGGCGGGACCCCGAGCAGGACTGGTGAGGGGTCTCCCAACTGTTGGTGTCGCTGGGTGACTGTCGATGGACCAGTTCTGTTGGTGAGGACGGACAGCGATGGACAGACTCGGGGCGATGGTAACGTCGCTGACCGGTCGCGTCTGTGGAGCAAATGAGCGGGGCGGCGGTGGTCGATAGTTTTCCTCGCGCGCCTGTCGTTACCGCCTGCCGCTGACGACTCGGACTGCTGCGCCGTTTCCGCGGCTGGCTGAGGCCGCCCTCGGTCGGCGACTGTTCGTATTTGGCCGTGCTCCCGCCGCCGTGTGGCGGGCCAGAGACTCCTGGAGAGCGGCCGTTACCGTGCGCGGCACGTCGCGACAAATGAGCGGCCGGTGAGCCAGTTAAGCCTCGCTCGCGCCGGACACTGGCGTCCAAATGGCCGCTGTCGTCAATCAGCTGGGGTAGGTGAGACGGTGAGACGGCGCCCGGCAGACCGCACCGGAGCCGATGGGCCGACACGAGACTCTAATGAAAAGTTGGCAGGTCTAGGACGGCCACGTGCAGGTCTGGGACGGCCACGTGCTGTGAAATGAATTGAAAACGGCGCTGTTCAGGCGCAGTGAAACTCAAACAGGTGAGATGTAAGATGTGAGAGGGCGGTGAGATGTTAGCTCTGAAAAATCATGTGGAGAGGAGACTTCATGGGGCTAATGTAAGCGTCCAAAAACAATGGTTCTGGCTAAGGAATACTGTTCACAGAATTCTGCGAACGGGTTTTGGTGTTATCATGTGCATGTTCAAGATGTTTCAGTGTGAGCTAAACGGTGGTCGTTACTGAAACTTTCGACTAAATAATGTTACAAATTTGTCCAGCAAGATAATCATGATAATGGGCTTTGGAATCGGCCGAGTTTGTTGTTACACTGTTTCCCGGTCGCTGAATATGGTGCTGAGCTGGTTCCATGGTGTTCGATGGAAATAATCATGTTATATCGGGTCCTCCATGTTCAGAGCGGAGATTCGGGATCTAATGGTAGGTATGTGTGGTGTGATGCCAACGGTTCCTTCAGAGAGCGCCATGAGAACAGGCCCCGCCAAGTGAACTGATCGCCGGTAATTCCAGTTGTCATGGTGCCATGTTACACTCCTTGCGGCGGGTGCCGACACAATGTGGACGTGTCTCGCCCTGAATAACATTCGCAGTAGCTCAAAAACAATAAAATGGTGATCGCGGAATATGGAACCGGTACGTTCGACCGTCGTCACAATCAAGCCCATCCCGTGAGTGGCTGCTGACACGGGGTGGGAGGCCGTTTGTGATGGTCCTATGTGGCGCAACATCCCCAAACTTTAACCCTATTAGTGGCAGGCTCCTGACTACCCCTATTAATGGCAGTGGGGGCTGTTTACGACCCCCCTTGATATCTCGAGATCTAACCGGCCGATTTTCAAAATTCAAACGGCATTCGATTTCGCTCAACGAGATCTACATTTCTAAAAAAAAAATATTAAAAAATGTCAATAGGGGGTAGAGGGGGGTAAAAACGGGCAAATTGCAGATACATTTTAGACTGTTTATCACGGCCAGGTTTCTGAACCAATCTTAACGCAACTTTTGCCGATCGATAGAGAATGAACCAGGAATTCACATGGATCCTAAAAATATGCATTTTCAAAAATCATAGGCGGATACAGATCATTGAGATTGGGGGTACACAAAAAGTATAGTAAATAAGGTTTTTGTTGGTACTGTTTCTAAAAAGGGTGGCAATGGTCTTGTTATATTACAATTTTCTTATGAGAGAACGACTAAAATTGTATTGGTCATGCATAGGCGGTGTCAGGGCACCTATGTTGGGAGGTAAAAAATAACCCCCCTTTTTGGACGCCTGGATCCGCCTATTATAGCAAAAACGTGTCAAAAGAGGATGCACAATAACTTTGTATATGTTATCACATGATACCTTTCATTCACTGTTCGTAAAACTGGTGCAGCATCGTGATCTTCGCCCAAATGACTCGCTTCACGAATAGGACCCCCATTTCCCAGTGCTCTGGAGCCGCCCCTGGTAAAGTTATGAACTTGAAAGTTTCAGGGAATGTGCCCAATTTAGTTTAAGGAAAAGTCAGAAAATTTCAGCATCGTAGCTTCAGCGGTTTCGGAGATATTCCCGAAAAACCTGAGGGGTGGATAAAAACAACCCCCCTGCCACTAATAGGGTTAACAAAATGTACACAAACCATTCCATCCCGCGACTGCGGTGCTCTTGAATAGATGCCTGAGAGCCACAATGAGCGGGCCGACTCCGCACAGTCATCGCGGAAGGATCAAAGAAAGCAGTCACCAGAAAGAAGGCTAGATTCGCAACTAATGAAGCGTGACACGAGCTTTTCAGAGCGGCGTAAATCTGGCGATCTATCCATGCGTTTTGATTAGAGTTTGAGTAAAGATTTTGTCCTTTTGTGTAGATATTTATCCTTGATGACAAAAATTGAACGTTAGATGCACCAGGCATGACACATCTGAGCGAATTCGGGCTTAAAAATGTGTAATTCTACGAGAAAAAGAAATAGAACTAGAGGAACAAGCCATTCCCAGCTGAGTTCCATTATTGCCAGTATTATGCCACGGCCGTTTTCAGTAAAAGACCGTCTTCTTCCAATCAAATTCAGAGTAGTCCTTGTCCGATTGAATTGCTAATACTAAACGTCCACACAACTTCTGGCAATTTCCGTTTAACCCTATCATTAACGTGTTGAAATGACAGTATTCTGCTGGTGGATTGACATTCGGCCTGAAACGAGCTGGTAAACCATTGACAGTGTCTGGATCGGCACTGAAGTGGAGGGGGAGGGCGGTGGGGGGAGAGGGGTCCGGGACACGGAGCGGGTCCAGGATAGAGGGGAGGGGGAGGGTCCTTGGAGCTACATGGTTGATGGCAGAGCCGGACGAACTGTCGCGCCTGTTGGCTGGGAGCAGAGACAGTGACACGGAACAGGCTTCGTGGATGTCCATGAAGTATATGCAATGTCCATTATCCATGGAAATTATTCTGCAAACCACACTTAGCGGGATTGCGAGCTATTGGATATAGTGCAATGCATCAGTTCTCGCATAACTGCCTGAAAACGTTCGCATAACCGTTTTAAACCGTTATTGTTGGTAGATTTCTGGACAACTTGCCAGTTCTCTTGGAGACTCAAGAGCTGAAATTGGGGACACTGTAGCTGGTGAAGTTTGGAAACTTTTGTTATCAATGTGCAGTCCAGATCAGCAGCATTTTATGTTGGGTCGTAGCTCAGCGTTTTCCTTTCGCAATCCGCGCACATGCGACGCTTGTGTGTGGCTTTTCTAGTGAACGCGAGGTCGAACTAATCCGTTCATCGACCATATTTATCTAAGCAAAGATTTAGGCAATGTTTTATATCAAAGATAATTCCAGTCAACAAATGAGGACAATCCCGGTAAAACGACCGTGTGCTTCGATACAATATCAGCACTTCTGATTACTGACAATAAAGCATTTTGGTCATGGATAGGTGAGCCGCTAGACCCTATCCAGGGCACCACAGAAACGAGAATCACAACAGCTTGGACTATAGTTAGACTCAACATTGGGTAATTGTCTGCATTCGTTATTTGCAAAATAGCAGTAGAGGCAGATCAATAAGGACATCGAGAAATGCCACAGAACCTACATCATAATCTAATGTCGCTGTCAGTTGCTTGTTTCATGTTTGGATTGTTTCATCATTATGTTTGACGAGTCTAAAAAAGAAGTAAGATTGGTTTGGTCCAGGACATCATCCAACAAAGAGGGTGATTTGTAGCCATGTGCCGAAAATAAGCATTCATCAAGTGAATGTTCCGCGCTCCATTGGTTTATTGTTCTCAATTGCTTATTTGCCATGATCACCATTTTACTAGTAAACCAGTATAACGCCTTTTGGGGCGACTAACGGAGCGAGCGAGAGGGTGAGCCTTGCACGTGCGAAATTTCGACGAGGTACCTCCAGGTGACTTGTGCACGGCACCCTTATAACCGGTCTCTAGCGATGTGCCAAATTTGAGCACAATCGGCCCAGCCGTTCTCGAGATCTGGAATCGACCCCTGCACGTGCGCACGTGCAGCAGCACCCCAATTCTGGCACATGGATATGCATTGCCTAGTGGGTACCTATACCTACATGCCAACTTTCAGCGCAATCGGCCAAGTAGTTACCGAGATTTTGCAACAATTACAAAAGTGACACCTCTTCGTTTTGCACGTGGCACGTGCATAAGGGGTCACCTACATGCATCGGCAATAGTCCAATACTTGGTAGAAGGAATGAAGCTATCCTACAAAAATTACCGCGTTTTAATCGGTCAAGTGGTTGCTGAGATATATGTAAGCGTCGCAGAATCGTGAGCACGGCCGGCCGGCCGGCCGCTCATACTCAGAAATTTCCGTTAAGCTAAGGAAAGACTACGCTCGCTTCGCTCGCTCCGTAATGATATCGAATGCCAGAAAACACCTGTATTCCCAGTTTCCCTTCCGACAGATAATATTCAGTTTTCCTGCAGGCTGCAGTCTGTTTCAGACCTCAGTCGGACCGCGACCCATGGTTCGCGGTCCCACTGCACTGCAATGTGAATCTGTAATTGGATGGCTGTTTTACTGTCGAAGTACCGTCACGGTAGATGCCCACAAAAACCGGACACTGTGGGCAAAGGATCCTTGGCGAGCAGCTGCTAGGACACCACCTTCCTCTTTTTGAGGCACCCTTCAATTGAGACTCTCGGTCACGTACTGGCAGGTCATAGGAACAGTTTCAAAGCTTCGTTAAAAACTGTGAGTGCGGTGAAGGCGACGGTCTGTTCAAAGTCAGTCTCCATCAAAGCCAGAGTGAGTCATACATAGTTATGTTTCGTTAGGTATGCACTGCCAAAAAGGATATTGGATGAAATTTGCACTTTGCAGTCATGTGTGGGAAGGACAAGGACAATCCAATTAAGACGTGTCTTCAACTCGTTTATATAACCGTTGCAAGCGCGGCATTTACTAAAAGCCAAAGGGACGGACCGGCGGTGTCACGTAAAGATGCCTTTGATGCGAGTTCTCGCTATAATTTGTTTCCGCTACCAAATGACACAGCCTGTTAGCTATCATAGTGATAATGTCGCAGACTAGTCAAAATTTACATTTGATATACGCATACCTACCAATCACGCTCAATCGTGTCATGGCATCTGGCTTCTTTATGTAAGTTAGTTATGTAATTATTTTCATTCTTCATAGTTGCTTCATAGTCTGATGTGTCTGTGTAATTTCGTCCCGAATTCGACGGCTGATGTAGAAACCATTTAGATTTAAGATCCATACTTAAGTAACTAGCATTTTCAATCCAGATGGCAGCGAACTAGTGTTCGATGTTACCAAGAATATTAGGCAGCAGTTTTATCCAGTGGACAATGGGATGGTCTCCGCAATTTAGCCGTCATTTCGCTGAAATTGGACACTGGACAGTGCGCGTTCATTAACCCGCGCGGGGCTGGGGGGGGGGTAAATCTTACCCCCCCCTCGCGAATTTTTGCAATATCTCAAAAACGGCGGCGCGCAGCGCCGCCAAACTTTCAGTACCTTTTCTTACATCAATTTGACACGTTCCCTGAAAATTTGAGCGAAATCCGTCGGAAAATTTTTGAGAAAGTGACGTTTTAGTGACGTCATGTTCGGCATTTTCGCCTCAAAAACGGCAAAAGTTCAAACGCCGCTAACATCTTCATTTTTAAAGGAATCAAGACGTAACAAAAACGGACATACGTAATTCTACTTTGTCTATCAAATGGCTATCTCGGTTTTTTGAAAATTTTGGTTTTGGCCCAATTTTTTTCAAAAAACTGACTTTTTTTGGGAAAATAGCTATAAAATCCAAAATTTTGAGTGTATCGAAAAAACCGGAATATATGTCAGAGAAGTGGTCTATGTGCACCTACATACCAAGTTTTAGAAGAATCGGTTCAAAAATGTGGGAGTTATTCAAAATTGTATGACGTCACGACACACAAATTTTTTGAAAA